TTATTACTTACAAAACATTGTTATGTTAGGTAAACCAAAAGTTATTAGTGTTGTATTTATTCTTTCAACCAAACAGTTTACGCAAACAAAGTTTATTTGGGCGAGTCTAAATGCAATAGTCTCCCCTCCAAAGCTAACAATCTGCAATTGTTGTCAAATCACGTTTAATCCCCAAAACCAAACCAATTTGTCAATGTCAACAAAGTGCTGATGATATTACTCGACACAAAACATAGTCCACACTGTTGTGTTTGCAACTTTTAATAGTAAAGGCTAGACACTTTCATGTTTTATACCTCACTACAACACAATTTTCTACAATCACCACGCTAGATGCAGCATATAAATACGACTTGATAGCTCAAAATTGAAGATAGATCAAATTTCGAATGTTAACCGATCGTTTTGTCTAAATTTTCCACATCAAACAGAGTATTATAATTACGGTTCTACTGTATTAGAAGCATACACCAAAATTTACGTGAATATCACGACACTTGCTATGCAATATATATAAATTAACTTGAATGCTTTGGATACAAAAACTACTATGGTATCTACATCTTTAAACTACATTTAAAAGCCAAATAAGCCAAAATGCGATCACCTTGAAACCTCCAGAGAATTTGTAATTCTAAAAACTTACTGTTTTCTTATACTTCGCACCTCAGTTGCAATGGATGGACGTGTCAAACAGTTTTGATTGATCTGTAACTATATATCGATGGATCAAATAAGTCGTTATGGAATGGTTGTGTTTGACATATATCAACCTTAACACACGTAAATAATAGCCTTAGTTTGGCGATTGGTCCTTTTAGCGAATTTCCCATATAGGGAATAAGCTATTTCCGTAGTACTCATGGTAAGACCTGGACCCGGGACCGATTTAATTTTTCATTTTGAGGTCCCTAGAGGCCAAAAACACCATCCGTTCAAATTCATATATATATTTGTCCGTTAGCGCGATAACTCGAGCAAAAATCATCCGATTTTGACGAAATTTGGTACAAACGTGTAAACCTACATTTATGCGAACGAGTTCGCGATCCAGCATAATCGGACCATGGAAACGGGGATTTATGGGGGGTTTTATAGGGTAAAAATGGGGTTTTCCCGTGTTTGACCCTAAAAACAAAAAAAATTGCAATTTCTTTCTAAACCGTTTTGTAGAGCTTTAAAAAAATAAATTATTTAGTATATTGAAGCGCTGTTGTATGCCTAACGGTCACGGAGAAAATTCAAAAATAGTGTAATTTAAAATTCCCATGTTATTCTTATGGAGAAAATAAAAATTGTTGTAGTTTACTTGTTTATTGACATAAAATATGTCCATATATATTTTATCAATAGATAAAATTAAGCAAATTTATTTATTTCATCGTATACTATTGACGTATGGTCAACAAACACTTTTTACCTTCCCGTAGCAGCAAACCTAAGCACTCGTTAAATCTAATGTTATTTAAATAGGGAATAAATATGTCTTACTTATGGAAATATTTTAGTAAAAATGTAATCAGACAAGTTGAAATTCGCATAGTCTGCAGGTTTGCTGCGGCGGGGGTATTTTCTGAAATGGCGACCATACGAATGTAGGTATAGTGCTACACCTTCCATCCAAACTTATATTGAATTTGATATTTTCTTTGTATTTTGATTTTTATCATTGTTTCAGACACACACAGTTTTGTGTGCCATTTTGGCATGGTAAATGGCATAATTACAAAATGTTATTGTAGTGTTTATGTATTTCACACTTTGAAAAATACAACTAAACTAACAAAATGTTTCATAGGAAAATATTTTTATTATTTTAAATATTGTTAGCTTTAAACCCATAGACCAAATATGAAGCATTATGCATATCTGCAATACCCATAGCGAAATGTTTTCCGTGAAAGGTTTTGGAAGCCATATCTTCAGCGCCTTGATGAGTTACTATACCCACAAATAATTGACCACGATACAAAGATTATGCCTTTCACGAACTCGTTTGAATGTAGATTTACAAGTTTGTACAAAATGTCAACAAAAATTGAATAATTTATATATATATTGTATATACCCCATATATCATTTATACGGGCACACACTCACACAAACACACCATCACACATATATATTTATTTATACATACGCTATTTATATATAATCTATATATATAAAAGGCAAAGTCTCACTGACTGACTGACTGACTCACTCATCACTAATTCTCCCACTTCCCATTTACCTAGGAGGCTAAAATTTGGTACACTGATTCTTTAGGAATTAAATAGGAAAACTAAGTGGTTTTTATTCTAATCAGACTCTCGGGCTCCGCCCCAGTGGCTCTGGAGTTTCCCATGTTAACCTAATGAGTACTCATATTTAATTGGAATAAATGGATCTTAACAGCTGTTTCAATTAAACAAGTTGGTTCTGTTCTATGATGTTCAATAGTATTAAAGTTACAAGGATTACCAACAGAGTGCAGCACTATTATTTTTTTTTTATTTTACAACAGCTAATTTTAAACCAAAAGGTGAGTGAGCAAAGCGAACGAACTTCAACCCGGAGGCGAGTTAGCGTAGCGAACGAGCTAACCTGAAGGCAAGTGAGCGCAGCGAACGAACTTCAACCAGGACGTGTGAGCGCAGCGAACGTGCTCCAACCTAAAGGTGAGTGAGCGTAGCGAACAAACTTCAACCAGGACGTGATTGGCCATGCGAACGAGCCCACATATGAAGTTAAACGGGGCAAAGCCCGCGGGTACAGCTAGTATATATATATTTTAATTTAAGGTGTTCACATAATAGGGCTGATGATACATATATTAAATTATTGTAGTAAATAAGTACAACTGAGCACCCTTAATATTATATTTTTTAAAGAAGTGACATGTTTCGGACACAAGTCCATTTTCAAACTTCAAATACATTAAATATTTAACCTAAATAACTATTTAATGTATTTGAAGTTTGAAAATGGACTTATGTCCAAAACATGTCACTTCTTTTAAAAATATAATATTCAGGGTGCTCAGTTGTACTTATTTACTACAATAATTTAATAATATGAATAATGTAAATGTATATATATTTATTCATTCTCAACGGTAAACACCCTTTTAACAAAACGATGCATTAATTATTTCTAGATTCAGTTAAGATAGTACTTAACAAGCAAACATTGGTTATAGTAATTCCAAAGAATACCCCCACCGCAGCAAACCTGCAGGCTAAGCAAATTTCTATTTGCTTGAATTGATACACAATTAAATCTATTTAAATAATATTAGGTTAAACGAGTACCAAGGTTTGGGGTTACAGGGAGGCTAATAAAGTGTGTTTAGTAAAAGTTTAATAGCTATGTATAAAATAAATAAATTTGGCAAGTTTGATCAAAATATATCCATAAACAAGCAAACTACATTTTAAAATATTCTCCATAAGAGTAATATGGCAATTTTAAATTTAAAATTTTTTTAATTTTCTCCGTAACCAATAACCGCACAAAAATACTTCAATATACTAAATTATTTTTCTTTTTAAGCTCTTTAAAATGATTTAGAGATAAATTGGGAGATTTTTGTATTGATGGTAAAAAGTTTTGAGCCCAAATTTTTACCCCATTAAAATCAAGTAAAACTCAGTTCCCATCGTCCGATCCCATCGTTCGCGAACTCATTCGAGTGTATCCCGCCTTACACCTTCAAACTAAATTTCATCAAAAATAAATAAAAAATACTCAAGCTATTGCATTCACGGACACTTACACACACACACACACACACACACACACACACACGCACACACACACACACATACAGGGTGTAAATTAAGTCTGGCACACATTTTTTATCTTTTTTTCTATAGTAGATAGAAGAAATCAATTTGCGGGAATGATTAATAACAAATGTTAGGCACTTTTTACAAATTTTGAAAATAAAAATTCCCTTAAGGGCAAGGGGGGGTGGGGGGTAACTAAAAATTTTCAAATGACAACCCCCATCTTGTGACCCCTCATTTTAAAGGTCATTGGAAGACAAATCCAAAGATGTGTCTAAAAAATTTTTTTTTGCACCCTATCTAAGATGGCGGTTTAAAATGTACTTAGGGTTCAATGGGTAAATTAGGTATGGCACACATTTCTTATCTTTTTTACTCTTTGTAGATAGAAGGAATTAATTTGCGGGACTGAGTAAGAACAAATGTTTGACACTTTTTCATAATTTTGAAAAAAAATCCCCTTAAGGGTAAGGTGGGGGTGGGGGGTAACTAAAAATTTTCAAATGACAACCCCCATCTTGTGACCACTCATTTTCAAGGTATTTGGAAGACAAATTTAACGATGTGTCTGAAAAAATTTTTTTTGCATCCTGTCCAAGATGGCGGCTTTAAATGTGCTTGGGGTTAAACGGGTGGGGTCTGGAACACAATTTTATCTTTTTTGCCATTAATAGATAGAACTTATCCACTCGTGGGACTGAGCCAAAATTAGGCACCTTTTTATTTATTTGAAAAAATCCCCTAATGGTAAGGGGGGGGGGCAACTAAAAATTTTCAAATGACAACCCCCATCTTGTGACCTCTCATTTTAAAGGTATTTGAGAGACCAATTTAACAATGTGTCTAAAAATGTTTTTTAAGCACCCTGTCCAATATGGCGGCTTAAAATGTGCTTAGGGTTGAACAAGTAAATTACGTCTGAAACACATTTTTATTTTTTTTTACCAAAAATAAAGTTATAATAGATTTGATAGTTTATATCAGAAAAACTTGGACAATAGGACGAACTGCAATAAACAAACTTATGTAGCTCTTATCACTTAGTAAATAAATCTGATAATTGAGATTCCAGGTTTGGACGTTGCACTCACTTGGAATTCCTATCCTCTTTCTTAAGACTGCAGGCTAATCAGGTAACAATCTTATCAGTTTTTCCTTATTCCCCTTCAGTCTGTGTAGGTAGTTTCTTTGGAGTAGTCGTAAGTACATCTTTTATTATTTTTATTTAACATGGCGTTGTTAACAACAAAACAGAAGATAGAAATAATTGTCATTGTTGGCTATGGAGATAAAAAACGGACTCAACTTGAAGCGTGTGATATTTTTAACAACTTGTACCCTGATCGCCAAATTAATCGAGCTACAGTATCTAAGATATGTAATAAGTTTGCTGAAACGGGGGATGTTGAAAGTAAACCAAGAAGTGGTAGGCCAAAATCTGTACTCACTGAAGAAACTAGACTGAATATACTTCTTAGCGTTGAAGAAAATCATCACACATCGACACGTAGGATTGGAAATGACTTTGGGATAAGTCACATGTCGGTCCACAAAGCCCTTAAAGCCGAGAAGTTTCATCCTTTTAAGGTTCAGTTAATACATGAATTGAACGAGGACGATTTTGACCGCAGGATTGAATTCTGTGAACTCATGATGCAACGGTGTACTTTGGATCCAATGTTCAAAAATAGAATTGTATTTTCAGATGAGGCTTCATTTAGTCTTCATGGTCACGTGAACAGACAAAACTATAGGTATTGGTCTCCTGAAAATCCTCATTGGGCTCAAGAATGCCATACTCAAAATCCCCAAAAAGTCAATGTTTGGGCAGGCATTGTCGGGACCAAATTAATAGGGCCATTCGTGATCGAAGGAAATCTAAACGGAAACCGTTATCTGGAGTTACTGCGAGAGTCGATAGTACCTGCCATTGCCCATGAGTTTCCTCCGGAAGACGAAGAAAATGTTGTCAACGAGAACATTTGGTTTCAGCAAGATGGCGCACCACCTCACTATAATGCTGAAGTCCGAAATTACTTGGACGAAGTTTTTCCAGATCGTTGGATAGGGAGGCGGGGAGCTATTGAATGGCCTGCCAGATCACCCGACTTGACGCCGTTAGACTACTTTTTGTGGGGCCACCTAAAAAGTAGAGTATTTGTTAACCGCCCAGAAAACATCCAGGATCTCACAGCAAGAATAATAATGGAAGCACGATCTATTAATGAAGAAACGCTGTCCAGGGTGGTAAACGAATTTTACAATCGGTTGGGGCTCTGTCAAGTTTCTCTTGGGCATCAGTTTGAGCATTTTTGAATATTAACAAGTACGTAAAGTTGATTATTGCAATTACATTTATTATTTAGTTTAGGAATTCTATTAATTTTGATTGCTATTGTGTTTTTGTTGTTGTAGGGTTGTAGTATTATTGTAATTATTTGGTATTCTATTTTATTGTATTGGTAATCAATTTTTACACTATCAAACATTAGAGTATAAAGGAAAAAAGGTGTTCCAGACTTAATTCACCCGTTCAACGCTAAATGCATTTTAAGCCACCATATTAGACAGGATGCAAAAAAAAACATTTTCAGACACATCGTTAAATTTGTCTTCCAAATACCTTTAAAATGAGGGGTCACAAGATGGGGGTTGTCTTTTGAAAATTTTTAGTTGCCCCCCCCCCTTACCATTAGGGGATTTTTTCAAATAAATAAAAAGGTGCCTGATTTTGGCTCAGTCCCACGAGTGGATAAGTTCTATCTATTAATGGCAAAAAAGATAAAATTGTGTTCCAGACCCCACCCGTTTAACTCCAAGCACATTTAAAGCCGCCATCTTGGACAGGATGCAAAAAAATTTTTTTCAGACACATCGTTAAATTTGTCTTCCAAATACCTTTAAAATGAGGGGTCACAAGATGGGGGTTGTCTTTTGAAAATTTTTAGTTGCCCCCCCCCTTACCATTAGGGGATTTTTTCAAATAAATAAAAAGGTGCCTGATTTTGGCTCAGTCCCACGAGTGGATAAGTTCGATCTATTAATGGCAAAAAAGATAAAATTGTGTTCCAGACCCCACCCGTTTAACCCCAAGCACATTTAAAGCCGCCATCTTGGACAGGATGCAAAAAAATTTTTTTCAGACACATCGTTAAATTTGTCTTCCAAATACCTTGAAAATGAGTGGTCACAAGATGGGGGTTGTCATTTGAAAATTTTTAGTTACCCCCCACCCCCACCTTACCCTTAAGGGGATTTTTTTTCAAAATTATGAAAAAGTGCCAAACATTTGTTCTTACTCAGTCCCGCAAATTAATTCCTTTTATCTACAAAGAGTAAAAAAGATAAGAAATGTGTGCCATACCTAATTTACCCATTCAACCCTAAGTACATTTTAAACCGCCATCTTGGATAGGGTGCAAAAAAAATTTTTTTAGACACATCTTTGGATTTGTCTTCCAATGACCTTTAAAATGAGGGGTCACAAGATGGGGGTTGTCATTTGAAAATTTTTAGTTACCCCCCACCCCCCCTTGCCCTTAAGGGAATTATTATTTTCAAAATTTGTAAAAAGTGCCTAACATTTGTTATTAATCATTCCCGCAAATTGATTTCTTCTATCTACTATAGAAAAAAAGATAAAAAATGTGTGCCAGACTTAATTTACACCCTGTATATATATATGAATAAATGAATAAAATGAATAAATGATTTTATTTCCATCAAAAATTAACAATGTATGAACATTTATAATATTGGAAATATAACTGACCACTTTAACAAGTTGTGTGGTCAGTATATATATTTCAACGAATAGTGTTTTTGGCCTCTTGGGATATCAAAGTGAAAAAGTAAATCGGCCCCGAACTCAGGTCTTACCATGAGACCTATGGTAATAACTACTTCTCTATAGGAAATTCGCTATTACTTGTTTTGCAAACAGTAGTAATTAGGGATAATAACACAGCAATACTCCAAATAGACAGTCAAATACGGTTATTTGAGAAAATGAACTCAACAAGCAATAGGTAACAAACATTAAAAATTTAACATGGGCAGTAAAAAGACCCAAATAGTCGACATCAACGATAACAAGCTCAAAAACAGTTACGTCAGACTAACAATGACAAAAACTAAGAACGTTACATTAGACAATAGAAACTAAAGGAAAGTGAATAATAGAAAATATATGTATGAAATTTAATAACCAACAAAAAAATTCGAAATAACAACAAAAGTGCTAAAATAGCAGAAACAAAAAATAACATATGCTGAGGAAAAACAAGAATGATTTGCAAATTTTCTTCTTTTTGGTTTTCCTTGCTAACTACATTTTTAAACTTTTTGCTTTTTGCAGCCCATTAATGGCACCATTAAAATTTAAACTTTCACATAACTTCACTTAGCATGAAGACAACTATCCTTCTTAAAGAATCAGTCGTGCCAGAGAAAAAGTCGTTGTGTGTAGCAATTTGACTCCCTATTTGGTTCAATCTCTTCAATCTACATGACCTTGTAACCTATAGTTGGCAAAAGAAATTGGCTGGGAGTGTCGCTGGAAAGGGGTTTTGGAGCGTGTTCCTCTAGGTACAACAATGTTCTAAGATTCCGTAGAAGTTAAGGACAGTTGGTAAGGGAATTGTTCAGTTTTAAAAAGACAACCAAATCAATGATCATACGTCTTTTATATAATGGGGTTGGATTTTCGGCTGCACCTCAAGCTCACAGATAGTGCACAATAAGCTGTTCTAGCTGCGATGCAATCCCATGGTTACTTAAAGTCTGGCCCTCTATTAAAAAAAAAGCTCACAGATAGTGCACAATAAGCTGTTCTAGCTGCGATGCAATCCCATGGTTACTTAAAGTCTGGCCCTCTATTAAAAAAAAAGCTCACAGATAGGTGTGTCACAATACCTGAAGCCAAGCCTAGGTACAAGCACCCTAAAGAAGCGATCTTGTGTTCGTGAAGAAAACAACTGGATGTGATCAATCTGATATGGAGACCATAATGTCATACCTATATAGGTATGGCATTATCTATATATCTATATTATCTATATATCTATATTATCTATATATCTATATATATCTATCTATATTATCTTTTTCCAAGATGGGGCGAACCAATGATTTGTACAGGATCACATGTGTAATTGTTGACTTGATGTTTCCCGTGGATCTGCATATGAATCCTGAGAGCGAGTTAGCCCTGGCCGTTATATGGGCAATGTGCTGGAACAGGCTAAGATTCGGTGTCATAATAATACCCAAATTGTTCACGCTGCCTATGGCTAGGATTATACTAGAGGACGCTGGCGTCCGAGAGGCCAGCGTCCGGGACGCTAGCGGGGCATTAAATCAAATGGGGGCGATTATACTATGGATGCTAGCGTCGGATGCTAAAACAAGTCACCGAAAGCTCGAAGTTATTACCGTAGGTGGCATGGTAAGACCTAGGCCCGGGGCCGATTTTTTTTCATTTTGATGTCCCCAGAGGCCAAAAACACCATCCGTTCGTATAGATTTAAATATTATATATATATATATGTCTGTAAACGCGATAACTGGAGCAACTTTTGTTCTATTTTGAAGAAATTTGGTTTAAATCTGAAGGGTGGGATAAATTTGAATGAGTTCGCGCGAACCAGCATGAACATACCTTGGGAATGGGGTTTTATGTGCTAAAAAAAGGGGGTTTGAAATTTTTGACCCATAAAACTAAAAAAATCACAATTTCTCTCTAGACAATTTTAATGATGATAAAATAAACAGTTACCTTGTTCAATATCCTTTGGTGCTATTACAGTAGATGACGACCGGTTTCGTGACGACAATCACATCATCGGGTCAATCCTCGTAGAACGATTCGTTATAATAAAAAATACATAAAGTTTTTACCGAACACAAGACGAAAACACATATTTACAAAATATTTACACACAGAAACCATCGCGATGCGTGCACGCTTTATGTCGAGCCGGCCGCGACTGGAGTTCCGTCGAAGGTCAAGGTGACGTCATCTGCAATCAGCTGATCGGTGGTTTCTGGTTTCCTTTCTCTGTCTAATTTGATGATAGTGTCAAACAACTCGTTCGCCTGACTATTGATTTTGTCATTTAAAATGTGTTTTGTTTCTAATTTAAAGGCTTTATATATTTCAAAATTTTCGAGAGCTGTTGTTTTGGCTTTATTGTTGCATGTGTGAATTACTATAAATATAAATACATACATACATACTATAAATACAACAAATTTAACAATAACAACAATATCAAATGCAACCATGAGTTTTTCCCAAAACTTTTAAACAACACTGACATAGTATTTGAAGACAAAGAGACTAACCTTCTGAATAAAGGACTTAAACATTGTCTGCCACCTCCCCCAAACATGAAGAACCTAGTTAACGAAGTCATAAATACAGAAGCTACAATACTCGAATTGCCTAGTGAGGAACAGAACAGCATTAGAGTTTTAGTAAATGACAAATTAACCAGAAACATAGTCCCCAAAATCAGACAAAATGAGAATCGTCATAAAAACCAAGACCATCTAATAGCTAAAAATATTAAAGAAAAACTAACCGAGAACCACTCAATAGTAACCAAAGCTGACAAGGGAAACACGACTGTCATAATGTATGAAAGTGATTACGATAAGAAAATAAACCAGTTCATAGATGAAAACAATATTGAGTTAGTGAAAAATGACCCCACCCCCAAATTTCTTAAAGAAATAAATTTGAACATTAACAGATCGAAACACCTACTTTGTGACAAAATAAAAAGACAACTCAAAGTTACAGCCCCTTATGCACCAAAATTCAAAGGTTTACCAAAAGTTCACAAGCCAAACATTCCCATCAGACCCCTTGTAAATTACACGTCAGCACCAGCATATAGGATAGCCAAGAAAATAGACAGAATAATTAGGGGTAACATGGATCTAAACCCTAATTATAGCCTAAAAAATAGCTTAGAGCTATGTAGTAAACTGAACGAAATCCAAATCCAACCTAGTCACAATCTGATGTCATTAGACGTGGAAAATATGTACACAAACATCCCCACTGATGAAGCAATTACAATTCTGGAAAAACAGTTAATTAAACATAACACATTGAATGAAAACCAAATATGTGAACTAATCAACTTAGTCAAAATTATAGTGAAACAAAACTATTTTGAATTTAACGGCAAACACTATATTCAAAAAGAAGGTTTAGCAATGGGCTCGCCATTATCTAGCGTATTAGCTGAGTTATTTCTGAACGATTTTGAAGTCAAACACATCATGGCAGAGGATTCCAAGTACAA